GGGGAGAGGCCCTTTGTGCGCCGTGGCCGTCAGGAAGTGCTCAGCCAACATTTCCAGCCCTTCTCCCCTCCCGCAGGTCTGAGAGGAAGAGACGTGCAGATCGGCTAACTGCCATTTTCCTGTGGAAAGGGGCAATGAAGTGTCTCTGGCGGTTTCCCACTGCCCTTAGAGCCACGCCCAGTTCCCTCTCCACATCTGGAAGCCCACAGGGACTGGCTTTGCCCAGCACATCAGCCTTTTCTCATTTCTTCCAATGTGCCAACCCCATTCCTGCCTCAGGGCCTGTGCACTGCCCATTCCCTGGGCCTGGAACACTCTGCCCCATCTCTTCCCGCAGCCTTCCCGTTATCACTCAGGCCTCAGCTCCTGTGCTTCTCCTGCGCACCTGACGTCCTCCCTAACCACCGTCCTTCTCCATCTCGTAGCTACTTTATTTCTTTCACTGCATTTATTGTGATCTGAAATGATCCCATTTGTTTTTCGTTTGGACACTGTCTGCGTCCCCTCGCCAGAGTGCAAGCCCTGGTAGCCGGGGCTGTGTCCTGTCCTGCTCACTGCTGCAGCGCCTGCCTGACACTCAGTAGACGCCAGTAAACATCCGCTGTCCGTGTGGACGGGGCCAGGTGCATTGGACAGAGCCAGACGGGCTGGGCTGCGGCAACGCACGACGCACGCGCTCCCCGAGCTCCCGCAGTGACGGCTGACTGCGCGTCCTCGCTCCCGTCGCAGCCCAGAGCCGGTCGGGTGCCCCGTCCTGCGTTGCGGTGCGCCTACTGGGACCTGGGGCTTCCAGAGCTACTTGGCAGGGAGGGACGGAGGGAGGGGACGCATTGAACTGCTTTGGCCAACAGGTGACGCGGATCACGTCCCCTCACCCAGGCTGCCAGACAGAACTAACCACACAGCCACAGACTGGCTGCGAGGGAGGCTGGGAAGTGGAGGGACCGCCCGGGCATGTGGTGACCCCGAGCCGTCTGGGGCGCGCCAGGGCCCATACGCCAGCCCAGGCTGCCTGAGGAGAGACCCCCGAGGCAGCCCTGCAGGCAGACATCACCCTGGACGACGAGGCAAAGGGCATCAGAGAGCTGCCGGGGAGAAGCCCACCTCCGCCCAGCCCCCGCGCCCGCCGCACCTGCATTCCTGGGTCCCCGCCCCTGGGAGCCCGCCGGACTCTCCTTCCGGGGCTCAATGGCCTTCCTCAGGTGACAGGCTGTGCCCACCACTCTTCACGCCCAGTTCAACGGGCAGCTTGCCGCCCGGGGCCGGCCCGAGCCCGGGGCACCGGACGTGCTGTCAGCCGACCGCAAGCCTCGCTGGCCGCCCAGACCCGGCCGGCTGCCGCCGCCTCTGTCCTCCGTGCTGCCCTCGTCCCGGGAGGCCCCACGACCAGCTGTGAGCTTACAGGAGGAACGTGACAAGCCACTGGCCGGGCCTTTGAGGGCCACCCGGGGCTACGGCTCAAGGTGCCCGCCCCCAGGGCCTGCCCATGCCACCACAGTGGCCACGTTCAGAGACAGGGCGCAGCAGACAGTGCCGCTGTGCATGGATCCCACTGCGCCATCGACACAGTGGCCACACTGCGGTTTATGTCTGAGTGCAGATCAATTAAGATAAAGCACCTGCTAGCATGGCTCCTATCAAAAAACACAACAAGCGTTACGAGGAGACGGAGAAATCGGTGAGAACGCAGAGCGCAGCTGCTGCGGGAAACGCATGGAAGTTCCTCAAAGAATCAAAGACAGAATCGCCGCATGACCCCGCGGTCCCACTGTGGGCGCGCGGCACGGAAGCAGGGTCCTCGCAGGCCCGCGCTCACGGCGGCACCGCTCACGGCGGCCAGGGGGCAGGAGCCGCCCGCGCCCACTGGCGGACGGCCAGACGAGCGAAAGGGGGTCTGTCCGCACCGCGGGATACTAGCCAGCCGCAAAAAGGGAGGAAATTCTGGCACACGCTCCCACACGGGTGAGGACATCACGCTAAGTGCGACAACCCAGACACAAAAGGACAGATGCCACCTGGTCCCACTCACACGAGGTGCCTGGAGTGGTCACCGTAGAGACCGACAGCAGAAGGGTGGCCGCCAGGGGCAGGGGGGCGGGGAATGGGAGTCAGCGTTTAATGGCGAGTTTCAGCGTCCACAGGATGAGAAGCGTCCTGTGGATCGAGAGTGGCGATGGCTGCGCGAGGACGTCACTACACTAATGTCACTCGACTGTGCACTTAAGAACAGTGAAGACAGTAACTCTCAGGTTCTGCATATTTTACCACTAAAATTTTTTAATTAAAATAAAAAATTATACTAGAAAAAACAACAAATTAAATTAAAACTTCTTCAATTGCACCAGCTGTACTTCAAGTGCCCAAGAGCCGGGGTGGCTAGTGACCACCGCACTGGGCAGGGCAACGAGAGCATTTCCACTGTTGGACAGCAATGTTCTAGAAGGTCGTCCTTTCTCAAACACTCCCTCTTGCTCGACATCCCTCCTCCCCAAGACACCAAAGGGTGCCACGTGCCTTAGATCAGTCCCCGGGACTCTCCTCCGGGTGCACACACGCTCTCAACGAGCACACAGGATATCACCCGTCCGGGCAACGCCACGCTCCACGCACGGCTGCGCCTAATCTTCCCCGTCCGCGCTGCACTCCTGCGGGGCCAGGTGGCACTCGGATCGGAGGCAGAGACACCCCAGCCGCCCCGCCAGTCTCCCAGAGCCCCAGGACCCTCCGCCACGGCCCTCTGCCTCTGCGAGACCCATGGCTGTGCCTGGGACAAGCACACATTCAACAACTGTTTGCCGGATAAATAAACGCACATCTGCGAGACAGGGAAAAAAGACAGGGCCCCGATACTCTTTCTCAATTCCTCGGCTTTATCTCCTAAAACCCTTTTTTTGTTATGATAAAATTAATTTTGATTTAAGAATTTTCATATTTCTTACGCTTTTCTAGAATAACCATCCCATTATCCAAAATGGGGGTACAATTGGATCACAAGCATCTGAAAGAATGAATTTAAGTTAGATGGCAAAACCAAGAGAAAATTCTAGACTTCCTCCAACCAGCTCTCTGTGACAGAGAGACCCTCCTACCACACCAGGGAAAAGGCCTCCCGAAGAACTCTCCATGGATAACCCAACTGCACTCAGAGATTTTGGTGGACTTCTCAAAAATGATGCCTATATGCTGTCACTAAATTAAATATTGTCACTGTCAAGATGACAAAACCATGTTTTATTTCAGACTGAAAACATGTTCACTATATTTACAGACTGAAAAGCAACTTCATCTATATAATCTCATTTAATCCTTACAACAGTCCCCAAGATGGAAATTACTGACCCATTTTAAAGATGAGAAAACCAAGGCTCAGAGGACAGAAGCCACGTTCCCAATGACACACCTGGAAAAGGTGAGTCCAGGAGTGGACCTGGGACTAATTCCAAGCCCAGTTCTTTTTCGCACTGGGTTGGAAGGCAAGATAATGCTCGGGGAAGACATACTCTGCACTTGATCTCAGCCAAAGGGCCGAGACGCGACGGAAGGCGTATTCTGAAGGCAGACGGGACCTACCATCGCACAGACTCAGTGCGACGACTTCCCAGGATAATTTAGCATGGCGAGTGCCTCGCATGGACCTGGCACACAGACAGGTATTAGGGGCTCAATAAACGTATCCGTTATGGCTTTATCGTTATTGTTTCATTAAAGGTACATTTCAAAAATAAGATGAGAACGGGTGTGATGCTGCTCTCCAAAATAAAACGCATTCTGCACGTGCAGCGGCCTTCGGCCCGCTTCGCGGATGAGCGGGCCGCGCTCCAGGGGGCTCGCTGACTTATCCACAGCAGGGCAAGGGGACGGCCACGTCGCAGGCAGGACTCTGGGTCCAGCGGTCAGCTCGCTCGCAGCCTCCCTCTTGGCTTGATGTGTCTTTTCACTTCGTTCCCAGGGGCTCCGCGCTTGGCCCAGAAAGCAGAGCTGGGCCACGGGCCATCGGCAGACCTCTGTAGCCCTCGCCGCCACCTCCAGCCAGACCCCTGCGGGACCTCGTTCACCGATAAGCTCCGGTGTGCGGCCCCGTGGCTTCAGAACTTCCCACCTGTCTGGCTTCCACTCCGCCCCCAGCCCCGCTGAGCCCTGGCTTCCTCCACTAGCGCCCCCCACCCCACCACCTCCCGACCACGCCCTGGCCCTCCCTCCCAGCCCCGCTTCTCGGCAGAGATATGCTGGGCCAGCCCTGCTCCCCGGGGAGCCCGCATCTCGAAGGGGGGACGGCCCACATCCTCACGGCAGCTCTGACCTGCGCACGGCAGAGAGGGGACAGGCCTCCACGCCGAGCGGGGCAGACACTGGCATGCGCCCCGACCCAGGCACTGTTCGGCATCCTTGTGCCTCCTTCCCACGGTGGGGGCTCTGGAATGCGGTGGGGTGAGCCTTTATTTTCCTAGTAGTAGCTGGACAAGGGGCAAGGCCCAGGAAGACTGAGGTGACACACAGACTTGCAGGGAGAAAGGGAATTCCCTCTTCAGTTCCAGCGAGAAGCCCTGGATTGGTGTCCGTCTGTCCTTCCCGCTCTAACACGCACCGATCTCCCTTTTTAACGGAAAGTGGGCTGTGGTTCGGAGCCAGCAGAAGGCAGGGGTTGAATGACATCATTTTGTGTTTTACTTTTAGGTTACTTTTTACATAAAGTGAGGTTTCCTTTTTAAATAAATTTAACTTTTGAAAATGTCCAACGTCAAAAAGCCGCTGGCACACAAATGACTGGAGCTTGTGAAAAACTGCTCAGGGTGTGACAGCCTTGCCAAGCCAGAATTAGCCCCAGTTTGCAGGTGAGAAAACCTGAGGTTCGGTGAGGTCGGCGGGGTGGCCAACTCTTCTCCCCTGGGGGCCCAGAGAGCCCCCGCGACGCGGTCGCGCTGACGAGCGAATCAGCAGAGCCTCCCGGACAGCCCAGGGGGCCTGGCCCTCGGGCCCCTCCCGGCCCCGCCCCCACTTACGATGTTCATGAGCGTGAGCAGGTACTTCTGCACGTGCTCCTTCCCGTGGAACTGGACCACGGAGTCATCCACGCCCAGCAGGACCTCGATGTTGTAGTCGTCGTCGGCAGCGTGCCTGCGCGCCCGCTGCCGCGAGCTGTTGACGCGCTCCTGCAGGACGCCCAGGGCTCGGCCGAGGCTGTCCAGGCTGGCAGGGGAGTCCCCTAGAAGGAGAGGACACTGTCTTCAGCAGCAGCCCGGGCTCCCAGGGACATCACAGTGGCACAAAACCCCACTCGGATGCAACTCAGCACCGACCAGGCGCCAGTCAGCCATCATCCCATTTACGACTCCCAGCACCCTGAGCGGAGGGCATCGTTGCCGCCATTTTGCAGAGCAGCAAACTGAGGCCCAAACGGGCAGCAGTGACTGGCCAACTCGTCTCAGACTCAGCAGTGCTCAAACCAACACCTCCGTGGCTTCCAGGCCAGCTCCCTCCCCAGCCCCCGGTGGCACCTCCAGACACAGCAGAGGCCACGGTGCCCTCCGCACAGTGGGACAGGCCTGCCTAGACCCTGAGAGACTCGGCCCAGCACGGTGGGGCCTTGCGGAGCCCAGGGCTGGCACCCAGCCACAGCGGGGCCGGGAAGAGCGGCCCGCGCAGCCCGAGTGGGCGTGGGTAGAGCCCTCTCTTCACGTCCATCCGCACCCTCGTGCGCTACCGAAGGGCTTTCCGAGGTCCAAAGGACGAGCGTCCCAGGTGTCACTGCCCCCTTATAACTGGGGAAACCAAGGCCCAGCCTGGGCTGTGTGTGTCTCCTCAGGCCACAGCCAGCCTCCCAGAACGTTCTGCTCAGCCCTCCACTCAAGCGTGGCCCGTCATCCTGGCCAGGTCCACGCCCTCCCATCCCGGGCCAGGACCTCCTGTTTGCCCTCCCTGTTTGCCCTCCCATCCCGGGCCAGGACCTCCTGTTTGCCCTCCCATCCTGGGCCAGGACCTCCTGTTTGCCCTCCCCAGGCGAACTGTACCCGCCCTGCTCTGAGTTGTGCAGGGACCAAGATCAGCCCCTCCTGTGACCCTTCACCACAGTCTGCGGCGGGCACTGACCTCCTGACCCCACAGGCTCTGCGCTGGCCACTCGGGCAGCCGAGCTGGGAAGTGGGGCCGGAGGGGCCTCCGCTAGGGCCCAGGCCTCAGGATGTCCTCCCTGCCACCAGCGCAGCTGCAACTTCTGTCTCCGTGTCTGTCCCACTGGGCCGAGAGCCCCCCGCAGGCCAGAGCTCCAGTTCCCGGCCCTCCCCTAGCCCTGCCCCTCAAGGTCACCTTCGGCATCAGTGGCGGCCCCAGACCACGCTGCCCACAGCCTGCTAAGCCCCAAGGCCAAAGTATCTGGAAGCTCCCACCGCTTGCACTGAGCTCCGTGTCTGACCCAGGTCCCCCGCCCCAGGGTCCTGCTTCTCCATGACATTCCCCAGGCTGGTCTTCCTGGCTTGGGAAGGACCCAGGCCCACGGGTCATCCAGCATCGACAACTTACGGGGTGGAGGCCACGCCCGAGGCCCATGCAGCCGAGGGCGGAACCGAGAGCTCAGCTCAGCTGTCCATACCCCTGCAACACCACTTCTTCACAGAGAGTCTTCCAGAACAACTCTTCCCACTTATCCTCAAAGCCTCGTATCTGCTGCCTTCTCCAGACGGGGACAGGCACGCCCTCCATGCCAGGGGAACCCATGCCAGGCCCTCGGGGCGGAACCAGGCCTCTGAAGGCAGCGTGGCTGCTCAGGGACAAGCAAGGCAGCCTGGCCGCCTGCAGCCCTGGCATCCGCCTCCTCATCCAGTGCTGACAGCCCGGCTCTCCAGTGCGAATTGCTGTCCCCCGTTTACAGATGGGGAGACTGGTGGAACCCCAGCGTGGCCGATTTCAGCCAGGGGCTCTCTCCCCACACCCTGCTTCCTACCTCAGACACAACAGACTGACCGCTAAGTTTCAGGCACGAGCCTGCAACCGGGCTGGGGGCAAGACGAGACCAAGAGGGACAGTGAGGCGCGAGGCAGAGGAGAGCGCTCAGACAGAACAGAAGAGCACACGGGCCAGGGCTGAGCGCTCCCGGGGTGCCTGTGCCTTCTGGGGCCCCTGACCCCTCAGCTCTGCAGTCCCCTGTCCCCTAATGCGCACACACGTACACACACACACACATGCACACACACACACACACACACATGCACTCACATGCATGCACACACACACACACACACACGCATGCACACACGTACACACGCATGCACACGCACCCACACAGCAGAGGCTGCCCCAGGACGCTCCAGGGCCGGGGCCAGGGCCAGGCTGGCGGCCCCGCGGGCAGTGCTCCCGCGGAGCAGTGCTCCCACACAGCCCATCAACCTGCCCGGCTGCCTGGAGACGATTCAAGGCCGTTCGTGCCGTTCCCAGAGGAAACGCCAGCAACTTAAACCTGACGGGGATCGAGGAATCGCCACTCTATTTTTATACATTTATTTCTTTGCATTTCCAGCGAGCAGAGACAGCTCTCCTTCAGAACCACCTTGGGAAGCAGAAGGATGGTAATTCCTGTGGGAAAACGCTTCCCCTGGGGAAGAGGTAGACAGTACCCTCTGCCCTTGTCAATCTAGGGGTCACCCACGGGCAGCCCCCAGAGCAAAACCAGAACACAGAGGTGCTTGTGAGGACCACAGTGTGTTTAAAAAACTCCCTATTTGGTTGACAGTATTTGAAAATTGGGAGATTTCACATTTTAAAAAATCTAGAATATCCAGCTTCTCTTGAGGAATTAGGACAGGTCACAGGGCCAACTCACCCGCGGCGCCAGAGAGCGAGGGGTGCCCGCGGGCCGAGGGCTGCACTGATGGTGTCCTAGGAGCGGCCCACGGCACCGAGTCCTGGGGACGGGCGTGCGCACAGCCCTCTGCAGCGGCAAAGCTGCACCCGCCCCACCCCCGCAAGCGGCCCTGCGGCCCCACAGCAAGGAGGAGGGTCCTCACCGTCCTCACCATCACCCCCATTTCAGCCTCAAGGAAACAAGAAGCAGAAAGACTAAGTGACTCGGCCAAGCCGCCAACTAGAGAGGAGGAGCGGGGACCCGGCCCCGCCTTCAGAGTGGCTTCTGTCCTTCTCCAGCACGGAGGGCGGGTGTGGGGGAAGCAAACTGGCAGAAACATACGCTTGGTCTGGAGGGGAGAACGCCCGGGCCTGGGTCTGCGCAGCTGGAGCAGCGCGCGGCGGTGCTGGCCCTGCGGGGTCGGCCGCCCCGGCCTTTGCCGCCTGTGCAAGTCCCGTGCCCTGCAGGGTTCCTGTGCCTGGGCCGCCTCTTCTGCCGCCGCGGTTGCTCCTGCCCAAAGTTATCCCCCAACCAGGCCCCACAGGAGCCCCTGGAAAGGCCCAGAGGGAGGGGAACCCCGCTGCCCCCACGCGGCACTCAGCTCCTGGAAGGCAGAGTGGCCTGCCGTCCCCACCCGCCTCTCCCATCGCCGCTCACACCACGGGGGACGGGGGCAGGCGCTGACACCTTGAGAAGCTCCGCTGTCCCCTCTCCATGGAGTGGCCTTCCCCTCGCCCTTCTCGTCCTTCAGCCGTCAGCAGAAACGTCGGCCCCTCAGGGAGAATGTTCCTTGTTTCATCCCGAATTGAACGGCCCCTCCCCCAACTTCTCCCTGATGGGAGCCTGTCCCCTTCCTTCCTGTGACACCCCACCACGTGCACTGATCTTGTCCGTGAACGCGCTTGTGCATTAACTGCCTCCCCACCTTGGATAGTGCCCCCTGGAAGACAGGGGCCATGGGGTCAGATGTGCCTCGGTTTCCCCCCTGCCCCACAGCCGTGCGGGCTAGAAGAGGTGCTATGGGAGTTCAGGCCCCACGGAGGGGAGTTGGGGGGCCTCTTGGGAGCTGAGAGCTGGGCTGGAGGGAGGGGCGGGGAGGTGGGGCCAGGAAGGCCAAACCGGGCTGGGGGCGGGGGGACAGGAGCAGGAGGTGGAACAAAACCCAGCTGTAGATTATCTGCAAGAGGCCTAGCTAAAACAAACGGGGGAGCAGCGTATACCTCGTAACTGCAACAGAAAGACCCCAGGCACTGTGACGTTCACCAGATCAGATACGATCCCAGGCGCGCCAGGGCCCAACCGATACAACAAACGACTCATCGAGAACTCCGGGATCACCTTAGAATGGTGGCTCTACCCATTGGAAAGAGAAGAAAGAGCGGTCAGGGCGGTAAACGGCTTTTGTTTGTTTTAATGTCGTAAGGACAACTGGTTAGGAGGAAGAGATCAAATTCTGACCTCACACCTTGAGCAAAAACAAATTCCAGGTAGACGGATGATTCAAATGAAGTCACGAAAGTGCTAGAAGAAAACATACCTAAATGACTGTTTTCTTTTTTTTAAGACGGAGTCTCACTGTGTCACCTGGGCTAAAGTGCAGTGGCGTCATCATAGCTCACTGCAACCTCGAACTCCTGGGCTCAAGCAATCCTCCTGCCTCAGCCTCCAGAGTAGCTGGGACTATAGGCGGGAGCCACCACGCCCGGCTAATTTTTCTATTTTTAGTAGAGACTGGGTCCTGCTCTTACTCAGGCTGGTCTCAAACTCCCGAGCTCAAGCGACCCTCAGGCTTCACCTCCCAGAGTGCAGGGTTGCAGCTGGGAGCCACTGTGCCCAGCCCTAAATGCTTTTTTATGATCTTGCTGTTGGGCAGGCTTTGGGTTCCAAAACCAGTGCTTTTTCCCAGGCCCCTCCTTGGCTGCCCCATGGCCCATGAGCTGTTCCCACTCCTCCACCTCTGCTGGCTGAGCGTGAGGGCAGACAGGCACACTCACCGGCTGGGGATGGGCGTGCGGCGATGGGCACACAGACAGAGGTGCCATGCTGCTGCCCCAACCCGTCAACCGTGCGGATGAGAACAAATCGCTTTCCCTTCCCAGTGCTGAGGAGTCCCCAGACGCAATCCTCACAACTGCCCTGCAGAGCAGGAACCGCCCTATCGCCCAGGAAAGGAGACGGAGGCTCAGGGGATTAGCGTAAGGCCAGACGCCCACCAGCTCTGCTCACAGCCTCCCTGCCAGACTCTGTAGGGGCTGCCAGCCTGCCCTAGGAGGGCCAAGGCCCCAGCCGCCAGCTGCCTTTGGACCACACTGGGACCCCCACCCCGGGGAGGTCACGTGGAGGAAGGTCATCCCCTCCATTTGTTAGCTACCTGGACAATCACTCTGCGGCTGCACATTCCCCTAAGGACAATCGTTAAGACGAAACATGTTGATGTGGAAGCATAATCAGGACGCGGCGGAAAGCCCGTCTGGGAGCAGGCGGCCTGGGCCCCGCGGGGGCCGTCAGCATGGAGCCCCGCTGGTGAGCTTTATTAAAAGAAGCTCATTACGATTATTTCATCCCAGCCTTTTATAACTTTATTACCAAATCGGAATTAATTTCTGCAACTCCAACAGACACAGCGCATCCAATGTCGTTTTTACGGCCCGAGGTGGGACGGAGGAGGGGCGGTCAGGACCCGCCAGTCACAGCCGCACCAAGTCTCCCGGACAGGAGCTGGGCGCTGCCTGAACCAGCGCGGAATGGGCTGCCCCGACGGACACTCCAGCCCAGGCCTCCTCCACCTCCCAGCGCTTCAGGGAGGAAAAGGGAGCCCCAGAGAAGGGGAAAGAAACTTCCTCCGGCTGCTCTCTCTGGGCCAGTGCTCAGGACATGCCCCCCCAGGACAGAGGACAGAAGATGCTCCTCGGCAGCGGGCGTAGGACATCCTGGCCGGCCCAGCACCCACCTACCTGCCCTCACGAAGCCACCTGGACTCGTGCAGCACGGTGACCTGCCCCCTTCCGGGCATTCTCCTTGTCTTCCTTTGGCGAACCACCCCCTACTCCCACCCATATTGCCCACTGCACCCCCAGCTCAGGGAGTGGCCTCGTGGCCCGGCCAGGCCAACGAAACCCGACACCACGTGTTGGTGTGGGCAGGAAGATACGCTTGCTCACGCTTCTCTCCGCTGGGTTGCTAAGCTGGCAAAATATCACCCTGGGGCTGCCGGATGCCTCTTGTCCCATGAGACACAAGGGTGAGAGATGAAGAGAGCAGGACCAAGTGACACCATTTAGGTCCCCACATCCAGCCGTGGCTGAAGCCCATACATCCCTGGACTTCCCAGCTCTTTGAGTCAATTCACTTGGCTTTCTGTCCCTTGCAACCACAAGAGTCCTGACGTGACCCCTCCGCCCCGCCCTGCCACACACACAGACGCAGTCCTATGCACTGGCCCGAGCTAGACACCACGGCTTGGTTTTGCAGCCAGAAGGCTTCGGACTATCATGGCACCAGACGGTGGTGCCACTGTTTGGCCTGTGCTTGCAGCACCTCCTACTTTCTGGAGTCCCCAGTGAGGAGTGAGCAGTAGGCCTGATGGGTATTTAAGGTCTGTGGCCAGCAAAGGGACCAGACTCTGGCTCATCCCCCAGACGCACGTCCGTGGGACATGGTGCTGCAGTGGTGAGGCCACCGAGGCTGGGCCCAAGCCAGCAGCGCCGTGCTGACGACCAGGAGCTCTGGGAGCCCTCGAGGCTTCCTGCTGCGGGGCTTGGCGCCTGCTGGCTCGCAGCCCTCATAGAGGTTCCAGAACACCAGTTGCCTCGGCTCCCGCTTCCCTGCCTGCGTCCCGGCACCACCCTCCCGGGTCTTCTGCAGTGCCCCCACCCCTGCCGCAAAGATTCGCAAAGGGCTCCTTTGGCAGCCGGGCCCAGAGGCCTCCAGAAGCTGGAGCAGGAGCAGGACCCAGCTGCGCCTCACCCCGCCCAGCACCTGCTCAAGCCCGGGAGGGTGCCTGGGACCGGCCGCGGCCTCCAGGCCCAGGAGCTTCCTCCTTGACGGGCAGCCGGCTGGGGAAGGGCAGCTCGCTCAGAAATCTCACTGCGCTGCCCGGCATGCAGCGGCCAGATGGCGGGAGCCAATGGAGAGACTGGTGGCTCTTTAAATGAAAATATTTACTGTGAACTTCAGAACAAAACACAGACACCCACAGGTCCCAACAGAAGGGAGGATTCCCAGGGATTTTGTGGAGAACGTGGGGGAGGCGGGAGGCTGGCAAGGCAAGTGGTGAGCTGACGGGCAATGTCGCCCAGCCCAGAGGCTTCTGCCGGAGCACGTCACGGCGGGGAATCCCTGTCACCACGCTGGTGCACGCGCCGGAGTCCCCGATTTGGACATCTGGCAGCCCCCCGGCCCCTCACACTCGGAATGCCCAGGACCGAACGCCTCCCGGCCTGCACCCGCTCCTCAGCCGCACTGCCCACCTGCTCACATGCCCGTCCCCCGGCACTGCCCTAGCTACCTGCTGCCAGCAGCCTCGCACCTCATCGGCCTCCACATTCTGCACGTCCAGCGCCAAGGCGTTTCTCGCTACCTGCCAGCCTCAGTCTCCCTCGTTGGGCCCCTCACCTTCCCAGGTGTGAGCCCCGTGCCAGGCAAGGTGGGCGAGAGCACTGCAGGGGTGGGGTCCTGGTCCCTCGGGAGGACCCTGATGCCAGCATATGCGGGAGGTCTCAGAGGCTGACGCTGCCCGGCCCCGCGTGAGCCCTCTCCTGCCAGGCCGCGAGCTGGATGCGGGACTCCCAGCTGCCTGCCCTGGCTCCCTCCCCCGGCCAGGCCTGGGCTGTCCCCTGCTGCCTCTCCTGCTCCCGCCCCCTGGCCTGGAGCCAGGCACACACTTCTCTACGCTGTGCCACCCAAGCCACCTTCCTATGAGGAAGGATTCTCCAGACGCCTCGGCACAGCCCAGCTGGGCACTGGGGCTTGACAAACATCCTCCCGTTTATTTTTCTCAGCAGCTGGCAGGGTGGGCATGGGACTCCTCTTATGCAGATGAGGGAACACCCAGGGATGGCAGACCAGGAACGCCTGTCTGGCTCCAGCATCTGGCTGGGCCGCTGCACCCCGAGCCTCTGGCCGACCCCTCAGAGGCAGCTGCATTTGGGCCCAGCAGGCAGGAGGGAGCTGAGGGGACCGGGGCCCCTAGCCCGGCAGGGGACCTCATTGCAGAGTCACACCCACCGCAACCCTGGGGCACAAGGACCCACCCCGCTTTCAGCCACAGTGAAAACAACTGACAGCCTGAGGTTTGGGGCTTCGACAGGACTGGGCGACACAGCAAAGTGTCCCTGGGACGGCACAAAGTGGCCGGGGCCGCCACCCACACACGTGGCCTCGTGCTTGTCTCACCGGTGTCTGCTCATCAACTGGAGCTTTGCATGCTTTACATGGCGTGTGTGTGGATGGGACCGGTGAGATGCCGAGGGCCCGTTCTCAGGGCCACTGGGCGCCTTGTGCAGCTCTCGGGCTGCCAGTCGCCTGGACCACGTGGGTAAGAGCCTGGAGGGGCAGGGTGTTGACAGCGGAGCCGGGCTGCTGCCTGCTCCTCCCCAGGCCCGCCTCTGTCCGGGGCACGCCCAAAGAGCAGTGACCAGGACTGCTCCCAGCCCTCTCCCGTGCTGGGGGCGGGGGGCCGTGGGGCAGCCCTGGGCACTGGGGCCTCTTGGCTGGCTGTCCAGGAGACCTTCGGGACCATCCCATGCCCCTGCGCCTCCAGGGGCGGCAGGGAAGCCTAGCAGGTGGGCAGCAGCCAGGCTCCCAGGTCTGTGCAGAGAGAGCCCCGCACGCCCTGCCCAGCTCAGACCCGGGGCGTGCCCCGCCCTCTCCCTCGCCACGTGCCCCCTTCCCCTGCTCCAGCCACATGGGGGCAGGGCCCAGGCCTGGCCTTCCTTTCTTTCTGGACTCTCTGCTGCCCTCCACGGGCAGGGGGCTCACCCCCTGGGCTGCAAGCACCTCCTGTCACACCCACCCCTCCCACGGTTAGGTCCTGAGGTGTGGGTAGGGGGTGGCACTGACAGGCACCCCCTGTGGCCACTGCTCTGAGCCTGGCCACACCACACCCCCCGCAGGGGCTGGGGCTCACCCTGTCGTCTTGCTGTGTGCACTGGGTGTCCGGAAGCCTGGGGCCGGGAGTGCGGCACTGACTGGCCCAGGTGGACCCCAGCCCCCTCGATGCTTCCTGGCCCGGAAATGCCCCAGCTGCAGTGGAGGAGGGGTGGCTCCCCTGTGCCCCAAAGCCGGGGCTCACTGTGCTCCCCGCATGGCACCCAGCCTGCTATCCGACCACGGTGTTGACGGCGCTTAATTCGATCAGCCCCATTTAGAGCTGGGAGGAAGCGAGAACTCAGAGCAAGTGCTGAGTCCTGTGAATTTAATCCCCGAGAGCCCCACAGGGGCCTTTCCTGACTAAGTCGGGGCAGGACGGGGACTCACGCCAGGCCCAGGGCCGCCCCAGGAGTGGAGGGCAGGGAGGGGCCGCCTTCCTGCACAGGGATGGGCCAGGCCCAGCTCGCCAGGCCCTGGCTGCCCCGAGACCCCCAGGGCTCCAGAGGACAGGCCCAACGGCTGGCCGGGCGGGAACTGCAAAAATGACCCTGATTCTACCCTAAAAGGGCTGGGGCTTCCTTTTCTTGTCTGAAAGCTCACGTGACCCCGCCGGGCAGCAGCCGCTGGCTGAGGTGGACTGAGGGGGTGGGGGGGCCCTCCAGGGCCCACGCCCTCCTGCCCCCCTGCAGAGGCGCCAAGGCCCCCACGGCCACGCGATTGTGCGCTGACTCCCCCGAGGCACAGAGAGGGTGCCCATCAGGCAGCGAGGCTCTTCGTGTCCCTGCCCACCCCTGAGGCTGGCATGTGGTCCCCCAGGGCAGTAGTAGCCTGCCCAGAGCGCCTGACCCATGGCCACCTTCTGCATCCCGCCTGGCAAACCCTGACTTCCTCCCGTTTGGGACAGTTCCTGCCTGCCTGGCCCCAGGCCCTTCACCAGGCCGCGTCAGCGTCTGCTTCTCTGGCCCCCGAAACCTACATTTTCATTCGTTTGCTGTTCATTCCAGTGTCAAGTATTTCAACAACGACTCTCTGCCGGGCCCTGGGCAGCCTCACCCCACCAGGGCACTCTGGGCTTAGCAACCGTGACAGGCAGCCAGCTTGCTGGTCACCGCCCCACACACGCGCACAGGCACGCGCACACACACACACACACACACACACACGCACACTCCACGGGGAACCCTTTGACTGCCCTCCGAGTCCCCAGGAACCCACATGGGGTCTGGCAAAATAAATAAACAAACTGAAGCCCAAAGCACCTGCTGGATAATCGGAGAGTTATCGCGATCCTCGTGCTACCGCCAAGCAAGCGGAGGCCGGACGAGCAGGAGGGTGCAGGCACGGAGGCAGCCATGGCGTCTCCGCACACCTGTTGCAGGAGCAGTCGGCTGCAGCACATCGGAAGACGGCACATCCATTTCTCTCCCGGACATCTTACAGGGGAGGGCACGGGAGGCGCCCTGAGGCCAGCAGGGCAGGGGCGCTGTGTGTGCTCGCTGCGGCCTAGCAGTGGGTACACGCTGCCCAACCTCGCCACCCTTCCTGGGAAGCCGTTGCCATGGCTCCTGGCACATCCCAACAACTGCAGGCACCACCCTGACAACATGCTGCCTGCAGCGTGGGCCACGGGCCACGCCTCACGCCAAGGCGACCCTCACTTGGGCCTCCCTGACCCTCGACCCAAGGAGGCCCGCAGACCAGGCAGTAGCCAGGCGGCCGTGCTTCACGACGCACCATCTCTCTGACCCACACACTTTGTTTACACATTTAACATAGAGAAAGGGTCTCTATCTGCAGAAAGAAATATGCTCGCTCCCCTTTTTGCCTTGACTCATGCAGGCCTCTCGGTTTATCTTTTGTTTATTCCCTCTCAACTGGGAAATATTTTGCTCCCATAAGAAAAGCCATGAGGCAGTGTGGCCTCGGGGCTGGGGTGCTGGGCAGGCTTTCTCCAGCCCAAGGCGGTCTGTGGAGCTAGGAGGGTGCAGGTCCATTCTGATGGGCCTTCTGATTTCGTTAAGAAGCCAGAAATCTGGACTTGAATGTAAAGTCGGCAGGCGACACACAAATATCGCGAGTGCCATGCTGCTTGGGAAAGGAGCCAAAGTGGGCTCCCGGGTCAGTCTGCAGCCTCATCCCCCGCCCAGAGCACCCACTTCCTCCATCTCACCCTGAGAGCCCACCTGCCTTCAGCCCCACAGTGGCTGGAGCTTCCTGGGCCAGAATTCACACCCCATTTGCTTACCCACATCCCTTTCCCCTTCCTGAAGACAACTCCCGGTGGGTGTGATTTATTGTGGAATCCTCACACGGGACCCAGCAAACTCTGGTCATCCACACAGCGCCAAACACGAAGTGTGCACCAGGCTCCTCCTCTCTCTCGTGGGATCTTGGTTCAGTCTCGCACACAGCCAAGGGCTCACCCAACATCATGTGCACTTCAGACAAAAGACTAATGTCCTTAATATGTAAAGTGTTCCTACAAATCAATGTGAAACAGTCCAGCAATCCAAAAGGAAAATGGACAAAGGATATGAATGGACAGTTCTCAAGAAAGAAAATCAAGCAGGCTTTAAGTATATGAAAAGATGTTCAGTGTGTCACTCTCAATAAAAGAAATACCTACATGAGATTGTCAAAATGGAAACAGTGGATCAGGGGCACACGTTGAGAGGAATGTATCCAGCAAACCCTCCTAGCAAGTCAATGTGGTCGTCTCTACCAAAATTTAAAATGCACGAATCCTGTAAACCAGCGCTTCCAGTTGTAGAACTTAATCCTACAAATATCTTCACACGATTGGGCAAAGAATTAAGTGTGTAGATATCCAATACAACATGATTGCAAATAGCAAGTATTGAAAAAAGCAAAATCCCCGTCCATCAAGGTCTGGTTAAATACGTTATCCACATAATGGAATGCTGTGCAGAAAGAATGGGCAGCTCTGTCAGTCCTGCTGGAGGAAATCTCCAAGACACACGAACTGACGACAGCAGGTGCAGGGTAGGACAC